TGTCAGATTAGTTAGAAATTCAACAAAGTGAAAAAAAATAAAAAATTTAGTTAGAAAATATGTAAATAACTTTCTCACCTTTTTTTCTGTTGTTGTTCAATTAGAGATGTTCTCTGGCGCTAATTCTTTATATTTATTTATTTTACTTTAACACATTACCTACATATGTACGTATGTATGTATGTACATACAAATTGACAAACACACATTTTTCACATCAACATGATTGCATTTTTCTTATTTATTTTAAAACAATAACAACAATGATTGTTAATGCTCTTCTTATACAAACATACATTTCCCCACTTCCCCTCTCTTCAAAACACTTTTTTCATCATATAATCTCCCACCAACTCTTTTTTTACCACACATTTCACACCACTTCTTCACACAAACTTCTTTTTTACATCTATGCGTTTTGCTTAACTCCCCTCACTTTTTATCTACCATACGAATAGCACGACAAAGGAAAACCACCGCCTTACGCTTCGACTAATCAAATTGCATGGAATTTTTGGCAAATTTCTAACACTTTTTCACTCAAAAATGTAAAACTTTTCATATATATTTTTATATAAAACATATAATTAACATTTTATTAACAGTTTCCAACAAAAATAGTTTAATTTGAACAATTAATTAAAACGCGAGATTTAATTTAATCGGACTATTAAACTTCATACAACCGAACACTTTAGAATTTTTTAGAAAACTAAAGAAGAAAGTCAAATAACCAAAGCAACAAATGACAATAGCTATGTCATTATTGTTGTTATTGTTATTCTTAATACTCTACTAAAAGAGCAAATAATAACAAGAACAACAACAACTGCAACAAGTGATGCTGTTGTTATTGTTTAGTGTTAATATATAGTTATGTTAAAATTAAACTTAAGCGTTAATTAATTGTTAATATTAAAATATTTTTGTTGTAAAATGTTATAGAAATATTAAATTATATTTGTATATAAAAATATAAATGAAAAGTGTTTTAGAATTAGTATAAAAAGAGTTAGAAAATTAACAAAAAAAATGTAATTTGTTAAATGTTAATGTCATTCATTATTAGGAATCTTTCGCTGTTTATCGTTTCCAGGGCCATTCGTCAGCAACCCAAAAAAGAAATTAGTGCTTTCAAAAGGGGAATACAAATCATTAATATGTTGTTGTTATTGCAATTATTGACAGAACTGGAAAAGCAAGCATTAGCATGATATAATATGTAGGCAAAATGTGAGAAAAAAGTAATAGTGTTTTTGTAGTGAAATAAGGAAGCCAACAACAAATATTAAGGTGAGCAATAATAACCCCCTTATTCACAAACAAATTTTTTATTTTATAAAAGGTTTATAAAACAACATTTTCACACAAAGTCTAATTTATAAACCGTTTATAAAATAAAAATTTTGTTTGTGAATAAGGGAATAAATATTTAATTTTTGTTCTTTTAACAAAATATGTAATCAAATTTGAACGGTGATGGGTAATTTAGATAGCAAGTACTTTTTGTAAAATTATGAAAAGGTAATCAATAACGTTTTTTTATGATAAAAATAAGTTTTCTTAGTGAAAAATAGATTTTTTGTTAATCAAATGAAAACTGAACAACGACTGATCTAGAACTGAACTAGAACTGAACTAGAACTGAACTAGAACTGAACTAAAACTGAACTAGAACTGAACTAGAACTGAACTAGAACTGAACTAGAACTGAACTAGAAATGAACTAGAACTGAACTAGATCTGAACTAGAACTGAACTAGAACTGAACTAGAACTGAACTAGAACTGAACTAGAACTGAACTAGAACTGAACTAGAACTGAACTAGAACTGAACTAGAACTGAACTAGAACTGAACTAGAACTGAACTAGAACTGAACTAGAACTGAACTAGAACTGAACTAGAACTGAACTAGAACTGAACTAGAACTGAACTAGAACTGAACTTGAACTAGAAACTGAACTTGAACTAGAACTGAACTTGAACTAGAACTGAACTTGAACTAGAACTGAACTTGAACTAGAACTGAACTTGAACTAGAACTGAACTAGAACTGAACTAGAACTGAACTAGAACTGAACTAGAACTGAACTAGAACTGAACTAGAACTGAACTAGAACTGAACTAGAACTAAACTAGAACTGAACTAGAACTGAACTAGAACTGAACTAGAACTGAACTAGAACTGAACTAGAACTGAACTAGAACTGAACTAGAACTGAACTAGAACTGAACTAGAACTGAACTAGAACTGAACTAGAACTGAACTAGAACTGAACTAGAACTAGAACTAGAACTAGAACTGAACTAGAATTGAACTAGCACTAAACTAGAACTGAACTAGAACTGAACTAGAACTGAACTAGAACTGAACTAGAACTGAACTAGAACTGAACTAGAACTGAACTAAAGCTGAACTAGAACTGAACTAGAACTGAACTAAAACTGAACTAGAACTAAACTAGAACTAAACTAGAACTGAACTAGAACTGAGCTAGAACTGAACTAGAACTGAACTAGAACTGAACTAGAACTGAACTAGAACTGAACTAGAACTGAACTAGAACTAGAACTGAACTAGAACTGAACTAGAATTGAACTAGCACTAAACTAGAACTGAACTAGAACTGAACTAGAACTGAACTAGAATTGAACTAGCACTAAACTAGAACTGAACTAGAACTGAACTAGAACTGAACTAGAACTGAACTAAAACTGAACTAAAACTGAACTAGAACTGAACTAGAACTGAACTAAAACTGAACTAGAACTGAACTAGAAATGAACTAGAACTGAACTAGATCTGAACTAGAACTGAACTAGAACTGAACTAGAAATGAACTAGAAATGAACTAGAACTGAACTAGATCTGAACTAGAACTGAACTAGAACTGAACTAGAACTGAACTAGAACTGAACTAGAACTGAACTAGAACTGAACTAGAACTGAACTAGAACTGAACTAGAACTGAACTAGAACTGAACTAGAACTGAACTAGAACTGAACTAGAACTGAACTAGAACTGAACTAGAACTGAACTAGAACTGAACTAGAAACTGAACTAGAACTGAACTAGAACTGAACTAGAACTGACTAGAACTGAACTTGAACTAGAACTGAACTTGAACTAGAACTGAACTTGAACTAGAACTGAACTTGAACTAGAACTGAACTTGAACTAGAACTGAACTAGAACTGAACTAGAACTGAACTAGAACTGAACTAGAACTGAAATAGAACTGTACTATAACTGTACTAGAACTGAACTAGAACTGAACTAGAACTGAACTAGAACTGAACTAGAACTGAACTAGAACTGAACTAGAACTGAACTAAAACTGAACTAGAACTGAACTAGAACTGAACTAGAACTGAACTAGAACTGAACTAGAACTGAACTAGAACTGAACTAGAAACTGAACTAGAACTGAACTAGAAATGAACTAGAACTGAACTAGATCTGAACTAGAACGAAACTAGAACTGAACTAGAACTGAACTAGAACTGAACTAGAACTGAACTAGAACTGAACTAGAACTGAACTAGAACTGAACTAGAACTGACTAGAACTGAGCTAGAACTGAACTAGAACTGAACTAGAACTGAACTAGAACTGAACTAGAACTGAACTTGAACTAGAACTGAACTTGAACTAGAACTGAACTTGAACTAGAACTGAACTTGAACTAGAACTGAACTTGAACTAGAACTGAACTAGAACTGAACTAGAACTGAACTAGAACTGAACTAGAACTGAACTAGAACTAACTAGAACTGAAATAGAACTGAACTAGAACTGAACTAGAACTGAACTAGAACTGAACTAGAACTGAACAAGAACTGAACTAGTACTGAAACTAGAACTGAGTTTAAATTCGTACTTTTACGGAAAGCTATTATGTATTAAAAACCTTTAAAAGGGACAAATTTAAATGTCATCAGTGTGAAATTAATAATTTAAACAAACACTTTGTATGTATGTATATAATTAATAAAGTTAATAAAACAAATGTAGTAAGACAAAAATATGTAATGTATCAAATCACTCACCTTTTTTCCTGTTGTTGTTGTTCAAATAAAGATGTTCACTGGCGCTGATTGTTTTTCATACTTATTTTATTTTAAAACACTATTTATCTTTTTGAAGACATGCTCATACATGCCGACAGATGTATGTACAAACATTTTTGACATCATTATGATGGGTCTTTTTTATTTAAACTACAGCAATAACAATTACAACAATAACTCTTAATACGCTACTAATATACATACATATGTATTCTCCCTCCTCCCTACTATTTCATAAACCTTTTCTTTTTTTCACGTTTTGCTTAATTCCTTCTATTACCCCTCTCTTAAAATAAACATTATTTAATTTATTTTTTAATTTATTTGTTTATAATATTATAATGTAATAAATATTTGTTTGCCATACGAATGTCCCTGTAAAAGAAAACTACCGATCGTCGCTTCAACTAACAATAATGAATGGAATTTTTGGCAAATTTCTAACGCTTTTTCAATCAATAATATAACACTTCTTATAAATGTTTTGCTATAAAACAAATAATTAACATTTTATTCACATTTTCCAGCAAAAATATTTTAATTTAAACAATTAATTAAAACGCGAGATTTAATTTAATCGCACTATTAAACTTCAAACAACCGAACACTTTAGAATTTTTTAGAAAACTAAAGAAGTCACATAACTAAAGCAACAAATGTCATTATTGTTGTTGTTGTTATTATTAATTCACCACTTAAAGAGCAAATAATAACAACAACTGCAACAAGTGATGCTTTGGTTATTGTTCTATTTCTTTAGTTTTCTTAAAATTTCTAAAGTGTTCGGTTGTTTAGTTTTAATAGTTCCGTTTAAATTAATTTAAAATGTTAATTAATTGTTAATAATAAAATATTTTTGTTGTAAAATGTTAAACAAATATTAAATTATATTTATATATAAAAATATTGATAAAAAGTGTTTTAAATATTAGTAAAAAAGTAAAAATATTCGGAAAAAATGCAATTTGCCAAAAATGTCAATGCAAGTGTTAGGAGGTTTTCGCTGTTTTTGGTTTCCATGGCCATTCGTAAGCAGACCAACAACAAAAGAATTGTTGTCAAAAGGGAGTGCAAAGTCTTAACATGTTGTTATTGCAATTATTGACGGAACTGACAAAGCAAGCATTAGCATGAAAAAATATGTAGGCAAAATGTGAGAAAAAGTGTTTTGCTGTGAAATAAGGAAACAACGACAATAACAACAACAAAACTAGAGGTGAGTAATAATAAAAATTTGCTTTGTTTACTTTTTGTTGTTTTAACAAATTAATCAAATTTGGACAGTGATGGGTAATTTAGGGAGCAAGTATATAACTAGGTACTTTTTGTAAAAATATGAAAAAGGGTTAAATATTAGAAAGGTTTTATTTAAAAAAAAGAATATTTTTTTGGAGTATAGATTTTTTGTTAAAAAATATATAGGTATTTTAATAAAAAATAAATATTGTTTTTAAAATCACTTTTTTATAAAAAAAAAGAACTGGAACTGAACTAGAACTGAACTGGAACTGAAATAGAACTGAACTAGAACTGAACTAGAACTGAACTAGAACTGAACTAGAACTGAACTAGAACTGAACTAGAACTGAACTAGAACTGAACTAGAACTGAACTAGAACTGAACTAGAACTGAACTAGGACTGAACTAGAACTAAACTAGAACTGAACTAGAACTGAACTAGAACTGAACTAGAACTGAACTAGAACTGAACTAGAACTGAACTAGAACTGAACTAGAACTGAACTAGAACTGAACTAGAACTGAACTAGAACTAAACTACAACTGAACTAGAACTGAACTAGAACTGAACTAGAACTGAACTAGAACTGAACTAGAACTGAACTAGAACTGAACTAGAACTAAACTACAACTGAACTAGAACTGAATCAGAACTGAACAAGAACTGAACTAGAACTGAACTAGAACTGAACTAGAACTGAACTAGAACTGAACTAGAACTGAACTAGAACTGAACTAGAACTGAACTAGAACTGAACTAGAACTGAACTAGAACTGAACTAGAACTGAACTAGAACTGAACTAGAACTGAACTAGAACTGAACTAGAACTGAACTAGTACTGAACTAGAACTAGAACTGAACTAGAACTGAACTAGAACTGAACTAGAACTGAACTAGAACTGAACTAGAACTGAACTAGAACTGAACTAGAACTGAACTAGAACTGAACTAGAACTGAACTAGAATTGAACTAGAACTGAACTAGAACTGAAATAGAACTGAACTAGAACTGAACTTGAACTGAACTAGAACTGAACTAGAACTGAACTAGAACTGAACTAGAACTGAACCAGAACTGAACTAGAACTTAACTAGAACTGAACTAGAACAGAACTAGAACAGAACTAAGACAGAACTAGAACAGAACTAGAACAGAACTAAAACAGAACTAGAACAGAACTAGAACAGAACTAGAACAGAACTAGAACAGAACTAGAACAGAACTAGAACAGAACTAGAACAGAACTAGAACAGAACTAGAACAGAACTAGAACTGAACTAGAACTGAACTAGAACTGAACTAGAACTGAACTAGAACTGAACTAGAACTGAACTAGAACTGAACTAGAACTGAACTAGAACTGAACTAGAACTGAACTAGAACTGAACTAGAACTGAACTAGAACTGAACTAGAACTGAACTAGAACTGAACTAGAACTGAACTAGAACTGAACTAGAACTGAACTAGAACTGAACATGAACTGAACTAAAACTGAACTAGAACTGAACTAGAACTAAACTAGAACTGAACTACAACTGATTTAGAACTAAACTAGAACTGATTTAGAACTAAGCTAGAACTGATTTAGAACTAAACTACAACTGAACTAGAACTGACCTAAAACTTAACATAAAACGAATCTAGAATTGAGCTTTGTGTTACAAAGTATCGTAACCAGGATAGCAACATGTGGCTGTAACAAATTGTCAATCAGAAATTCAACTTGTTAAAGAGTCCATCCAAGTCAATACCTAAATATGTATATGCATAGCTAAAAACACGTTTATGTACTTCTCCCTTTCACATTGCGTATAATGAACTTCTTATACTTCTTCAATTCAATAACCTAAATACTCAACAACACTGGACATTCCTGTTCATTACTACTAATAAAAATTTATGTTAATTTCTTTTTAAAAATCATTCAAAATAATTTTTATTGTTTTAAAAATTTACAAAAATGGCACGAGGCCAACAATTATGGTAAAATAAGGCAATAATAATTTGCACATTTGCAACAACGACAAAACAAAAAACTTTAAGGAGGAGTTGATAGCATACCTGGGCAAAGTTAAAACTTCATAAGACATGAAGTTGATGATGGTTTGTTGTTTCATTGAGAAATTATGACACTGAAATGAAAAACAGAAAAGATAGGGATTTTTAAAGTTGTTTTAAAAAGAAAAATCAGCATATTGGAAAAAATATAATAAAACGAAGTTTGGAACATTAAAAGAAAGGACCAGCTTTAGAGGTAGTGGCTAAGGAGGGGGTATTGAAGTTGATAACTTTATGTTTTGGGCCAAAATATTTTTCACAATTTTTGTGGTATTTTCACAAACTCCTTTTCTTAAATTATGGTTTGCTGTAGTAGTTGCAAGTAATATCGTAAAGTATTTTTTAATTGATCAAGCGACCTCCTTCTTCTTTTCAAAAGTTTTTTTTCATACTCTTTCCTTGGCAGTAGAAGATGCTTGAATGAAATGTGTTGCCAACATTTAATGATGTGGTAAGAAATTATGTTTGAATTAATGTGCTACATGTTGTTGTTGTTGTTCAAATTTCTGTTGTTGTTTTCTGGTGTGTCTTGCCTGTATTCTAAACTGGATTTGTGTTAATTATAGTGTTGCTAAGATATTGAAAATTTACACATTAAAAAGATAAATAAACTGGATTTTATTTAATGTTGTAGAATTATTGGTTTTTATGCATGTTTTTCAAACGATTTTTTATAATTTAGATTTAGATTTTATGGGTATGGAGAATATAAAGTTTAAATTTAAATTAAATTTTCTTTTTTACTTCAAGAAAGTAATATAAATTTAATAAAATTTCTTGTAATTAGCTTTAGAGGCTAAAAAATTATGGAAAATTGTTTTATATATGATAGAAATATGGCCAGATATATAGATATGTATGTTTAGATGGGTACTATAAATTTGAAGTTGTAATTATAGTCTACTAATGCAACATGTTGCTGGCAACATATAGTAGAATTTAGCAGAATTTGAAAGTAAAGAAATAATATGATTTTTAATCATAAAATAGTTTAAAAAATATAGCATAATGCTATAAATTAAAAATTGCAGTTAATGGCAACATGTTGCTGGCAACATTAATACCAAGAATTGGTATTCCGTAGGGACTAGAATTAATTCAGTTTTAGTTTTCCGATTTAAAAATTTGAAAGAATTTTCAAGTTGAAATAGTAACGAAACCTTAGCAACATGTTGCTGGCAACATAAACATCGAGCATTTCTATTATTAAAGGTTTAAGTAAAAGCTTAAGCTCTCTGGAATTATAAAATATTTCATATCATAAAATTTTAAAGTATACCTTCTATATGTATATTTTAGTTTCTTCAAAATCCGATTGTAAACTTGTTTCTAGCAACATTTTCTTAATTAATTTTAATTTCTTATAGTTTATATTGAATGTGTGTATTTTTAGCCTTTCTACACTTTTGGAAAATTCCAAATAAACAATTTTATCTAATAATATTCTTGATTAACACAAACAGTAAAAAAAAAATTTACATATAAACCAAACACGCAAATAGGTAATTTCTTTTTGGCAACAAAAACATTACACACACAGCCATACACCACCACATACATATCAAAGCCAAAACTAATGTTCAATATGTAGAAAAGTATGGCAAGTCCAATTAAATTACTTTTTGAATATCAAAACTGCAAAATTGTTAGAATTTCTAACAAACAGCAAATGGGTGGAGAAGGAAGCTGTGCCACAAACATAACCAAAGAAAATCAACAGCAATGCAGGTAAAGTCGTCGCTTGCGTCGTAACATTCATTTAAAGAAAATTGTAAACGCCAAAAGCGTCACATAAGAAAGTTTACGAATCATGAAAGAAAAAAAAAAACTTAACAAAACGACCGCACACTTTAGTAGTTCGTATATGTACCTTTTTGCAGGCAGGCAAAGGCAGTCTTTCTCTGTTGCTCCCATCTTGCCACAGAGTAGTAGTAATGCGAACAAAATAGTGATGATGGTGTGGTGGTGTTGCTTAACGTATAAAATTTATACTTAAATAATTGTATAGTATATTATACATTTGATTCTTAAAATGTTGTTGCAATAGTTGTTATTGTTGTTGTATTGTGGATATCTGTATCTTCATATCCTTTTAGATTTTGCTACAATTTTAACATACATTTGCTAACCAATACACAGGGAGTTTAAGGCAAATGTTTGCTAAACTAAGGGCTTGCTTAACGGCCTTGTAAAAAAATAAACTTTACAAAATTTCAATAAAACAAATAATAATGCTGAGACATGTGGCAGCCTAATTTGCGACTAGACTATAGACCAGACTATAGACAAGACTATAGACTAGACTATAGACTAGACTATAGACTAGACTATAGACTAGACTATAGACTAGACTAGACTATAGACTAGACTATAGACTAGACTATAGACTAGACTATAGACTAGACTATAGACTAGACTATAGACTAGACTATAGACTAGACTATAGACTAGACTATATAGACTAGACTATAGACCTAGACTAATAGACTAGACTATAGACTAGACTATAGACTAGACTATAGACTAGACTATAGACTAACTATAGACTAGACTATAGACTAGACTATAGACTAGACTATAGACTAGACTATAGACTAGACTATAGACTAGACTATAGACTAGACTATAGACTAGACTATAGACTAGACTATAGACTAGACTATAGACTAGACTATAGACTAGACTATAGACTAGACTATAGACTAGACTATAGACTAGACTATAGACTAGACTATAGACTAGACTATAGAGCTAGACTTAGAGACTAGACCTATAGACTAGACTATAGACTAGACTATAGACTAGACTATAGACTAGACTATAGACTAGACTATAGACTAGACTATAGACTAGACTATAGACTAGACTATAGACTAGACTATAGACTAGACTATAGACTAGACTATAGACTAAC